AAACTCAACAATAGGAAAACAAAAAACCCAACAGAAAAATGGACAAATGATCTAAACAAATATCTTTCAAAAGAAGACACACAGATGACTAAAAAAAGCAAATGGAAAGATCCTCAACATCATGTCATTAGGGAATTGCAAATTAAAACAAAAGATGAGATATCACTACACACCTATTAGAATAGTTAAAATATAAAAAATTAACAATACCAAATGTGGACAAGGACACAGAACAACAGGAACTCTCACTCATTGCTGGTAGGAATGCAAAATGATATAGTCACTCTGGAAGAACAGGCAGCTTCTTACAAGTTAAACACAGTCTTGGGGCGCCTGGGTGGCTCAGTTGTTAAGCATCTGCCTTTGGCTCAGGTCATGATCCCAGGTCCTGGGATGGAGTCCCACTCAGTGGGAAGCCTGCTTCTCCCTCTCCCACTCCCCCTGCTTGTGTTCTTGCTCTCCCATCTCTCTCTCTGTCAAATAAATAAATAAAATCTTTAAAGAAAAAAATAAACACAGTCTTAACATATGATCCAGCAATCACACTCCTAGGTATTTACCCAATTAAGAGGAAAAATAATGTCTACACAAAACCTACACCTGAATGTTTATGGCAGCTTTATTCATAATTGCCACAAACTTGAAGCAATCAAGATGTTTCTCTGTAGGTGAATGGATAAACAAACTAGGTACATCCATATGATGGAATGTTACTCAGTGATAAAAAGAAATGAGCTATCAAGCCACCAAAAAAAGAGACATGGAGGAATCTTTTTTTTTTTTAAGGTTTATTTATTTATTTTGAGAAAGAAAGAGAGAGAAAGCACATGGGAGGGGAGGGGAGGGGCAGAGGAAGAGGGAGAGACAGAATCTAAAGCAGAATCCTCACTGAATGTGAGCCTGACGCAGGGCTCAATCTCAGGACCCTGAGATTATGACCTGAGCCGAAATCAAGAGTCAGACACTTAACCAACTGAGCTACCCAGTTACCCCAGAGACACAAAGGAACCTTAAATGTATATTACTAAGTGAAGGAAGCCAGTCTGAAAAGGCTACATATTGGATGATTCCAATTCCAATTATATCACATTCTGGAAAAGGCAAAACTATGGAGATAGGAAAAAGATGAGTGGTGCAAAGGGTCCAGGGGAAGGGGCCAACAGGTGAAGCAACGGCAGTGAAATTACTCTGCGATACTGTGATGGTAGATGTATGATATCATACACATGTCAAACTCACAGAACTGTAAACACAAAGAGTGAAACCTTAAGGAATGCAAAATTAAAAAAAAAAAATACCATTTAGGAGTTCAAGGAATCCCAAGAAAGAAAGAAGGTAGACTGTAACAAGCAAATCTAAGTGTACTACAAACATATGAAGCAGCAACCTCACTGCAATGGACAGAGGAAGGGTGCTGACCTAAGAAATTTTTGAAATAAACAGAATCTGTAAGAACAAAGGCAAAATGAGGGACGCCTGAGAGGCTCAGTCGGTTAAGCGTCTGCCTTCCGCTCAGGTCATGATTCCAGGGTCCTGGGATCGAGTCCTGCATCAGGCTCCTTGTTCAGCGGGGACCCTGCCTCTCTCCCTCTGCCTGCCGCTCCCCCTGCTTGTGCTCTCGCTCCGACAAATAAATAAAATCTTAAAAAAAAACAAAAAAGGCAAAATGAATTGTAACTGAATACTGTACTCTAGTTGATAAAGTTGGTTTTCATGAGGTTACAGGTTAACAATTCTGATATGATTCCAGATGTATACTGGAATTAAATAATTAAGTAAATAGATGGGAGGATGGCAGAAGCCAGGTTTCTCACTGTTGGGAGTGTGGGGTTCACAAATAAGCAAAGGAAGGAGGCTAGAATGATTCAGACGGTAATAGATTAAAGTTAGGGGCATCATTAAGAACTCATATTTAATTTAATATAGACACTGATGGTTATAAATAGAAATACAGACATACGTATATACACATATTACTATACATACACATTATTTCTTTGCTCTATCAGTTCAGAGGGCCTAGAAGCAATGATACCCCAGTGGCGACAAGCATATCTAGTGCCCAGATTTTGATTTCTAATATCATTTTCCAATAAAAAGAACCAGGGAGAACTCCTTGAGTAACTGGCTGATTCCGGGAATGGGACAAGAAATACACAAGATGATCCCGGAGCATCTTGTAGTGCCAGAAAGTAAGGAAGTGCCTAAAGCAGAACAAAACCCCACAATGATGAGGGGTATGTCAAAGAGACACAAGAGTCAAGTGAAAATATTCCCAATGGCCAAAGCTGAAAGAATTTGAGCAACAAATAAAGTAGTGTTAAATTATAACCCAAAGTATAAAATAAATATCCTGAGTCTACCCTGATATAAATAAATGATCGAATAGGTTAATAAGTGGGGGAGAAGAGATAAATCTCAGGTGTGGAAGAATTCCAAATAAATTATGTAGCTACTCTACCCTAAAGGAGGGGGAGCACGATTCCCCACAACTTAAATGTGGGCTGCACAGAGTGACTTCCTTTCAAAGAGTATAGCATGACAAGGAGGGGGGGAGAAGAGTAACTTTCTGGTGGAGAAACCAGGCAAATACTACATAAGCTAAATGATTAAGGTCAACATCAATAGTCATACATCGTTCAATTAGATGGGATGGGATGAAAATGTCACTTTACCTCTGTGATCTTCCTCCCCCAAAACCATAACTCCAGCGAATTATGAGAATAACAGCAGAGAAATGCCAATAGAGTGGCATCCTATGATACACCTGACCACCACTCCTCAAAAGGTCAAAGTTGTCAAAACCAAGGAAAGTCTGAGAAATTATCAGAGTCAAGAGGAGCCTAAGGACACATGACCACTAAATTCAACTAATCTGGATGGGATCTTGGAACAGAAAAAGGACATTAGATTAAAAACTAAGGAAATCTAAATAAATTATGAACTTTAATTAATAATAATTATCAATATTGGTTCATTATTTATAACAAATATACCATACTAATGCAAGATGTTAATAGGAGAAGTCGTGTGCAGAGATGAGAGTAATATGAAAACTCTGTACTGTCTTTACAATTTTTCTGTAAATCTAAAACTATTCTGGGACGCCTGGGTGGCTCAGTCAGTTAAGCGTCTGCCTTTGGCTCAGGTCATGATCCCAGGGTCCTGGGATCGAGTCCCACATCAGGCTCCCTGGCTCAGCGGGGAGCCTGCTTCTCCCTCTCCCTCTGCCCCTGCTTATGCTCTCTCTCTCTGACCAATAAATACATAAAATCTTAAAAAGAAAAAAATAAAACTATTCTAAAAAGCTAAAATCTATTAATTTTTTAAAAATACTTTTATTTTGGGGTGCCTGGGTGGCTCACTTGGTTAAGCATCCGACTCTTGATTTTAGCTCAGGTCATGATCTCAGAGCCCTGAGTTCGAGCCTCATGTTAGGCTCCATGCTAAGCAGGGAGTCTGCTTGAGATTCTCTCTCTCCCTCTGCCCCTCCTCTCCACCCCATGCACATGCATTCTCTCTCTCTCAAATAAATAAATAAATCTAATAAAATAAAAGACTTTTATCTTAAGCTTTCTGTCAGGTGCAGAGGAAATTAATCCTAACTTAACATCCCCATCACCCAAATTAATATGTACAAAATATTAAAAGTCCTAAGTACAATTTGGGGGAGCTCATAGACACTGTCCCTTTTTTTATAGGCTGAATTGTGGCCTCTTAAAATTCATATGCTGAACTCCAAACCACTGTCCTGCAGAATGCGACTATATTTGGAAATAGGGTCTTAATTGAGGTAATTCAGTTAAAAAGGGGACATTAGGTTGGGCCCTAATCTAAGAGGACTGATCTCCTTATAAGAAGAAAAGAGTAAGACACCCGCGTACAGAGGGAAGAATATGTGGAGACACAGCAGGGAAGACGGCCATCTATAAGCCAACCAAAATGGCCTCAGAAAAGGGCGCCTGGGTGGCTCAGTTGGTTAAGCGACTGCCTTCGGCTCAGGTCATGATCCTGGAGTCCAGGGATCAAGTCCCGCATCGGGCTCCCTGCTCGGCGGGGAGTCTGCTTCTCCCTCTGACCCTCTTCCCTCTCGTGCTCTCTCTCTCTCATTCTCTCTCTCTCAAATAAATAAATAAAATCTTTAAAAAAAAAAAAAAATGGCCTCAGAAAAAGACAACCCTACTTGGTACCTTGATCTCAGACGGCCAGACTGCAGAACTGTGAGAAAACAAATATCTGTTATTTAAGCAACCTAGTGGTATTTTGTTATGGCAACTCTAGCAAACGAATACACCCCCCAAAGCTCACCTACATATTATCAGACCAATCATAATAAAGAAAAGTAGAGCTCAAAGAAGTGTTCAGAGGATAGTGTTGCTGTTGTTGCAAGTCTTCACTGGGCATGGACCTCACAACAGTACCCAGCTGGGCATTTTCATACATTATTTTATGTAATCCTCAGAATATTACAAGACAGGTATGATTTATCAACCCATTTTGTACAGGGGAAAATTCAGAACCAAAAATGTTAAATGGCTGGCCCAATCACCCAGTTTGGAAGCAGCAAAGCTAAAACAGGATTCAGACCTATGGAACCAGAGCCCAGCATCTCTCTCCTTTCCCAGCTACCTTTCAGAGACACCTCTTCAGTGAACACGCACTGTCCACACACTAAGTGAATTATATCATAATTAATATAGCTATCTTTCACTGAGCACTTACAATGGGCCAAGCACTATGCTGTGTTACCTGCATTTTTCATAAGACTCTTCCCCACAATAAACCTCCTAGGTAGGTATTATTACATTTGTTCAGAGGGAGGTTCTATGTGATTAAGAACTTGCCCAAAGCTGTCCAGCTGTCCATGGAAGCCCAGGACTCAAACCCATGTCTGTCTGACTCACTGGCCCATGCTCCAAGCCTCTGCTCCGTTTGGCCCACAATTCCACCTCAAGCCTCAGCACCACGGCAACCACAGGGCCCTGTCCCCAGGCACTCACCCACAACCTCCAGCCGGACTGTTCCCACTGCTTTGTGAGGGGTGATCACCACCTCACATCGGTACTCTCCTGCTTCCCACAGCTGGACCCCTGGCAGCTGCAGCGAGGCATCCCCCCTTTTCAGCCTCCAGGGAGACACGGAGGCTCCAGGTCGGACTGTCATTTGGTGGTCTCCAAAAAACTCAAACAGTTTAACTTCTGTTGCAGACACTCGATGCTTCCAAAACCAGGTGATACCCATAATTGTGATGTCCAGGTGGTGGTAACCCTGGACTTTGCAGATAATAGTGGCATTGTGATTCAGAAGCACTGTCTGAGTCTCCCCTGCCATCTCCACTTGCAGAAAACCTGTGGCAATAAGAGAACTCAGTTATGGGAGACCCTTGGAAAAAACACAGGCATGGTACTCTCAAAAGCTGCCACATAAATGGAAAGAAATCCCTTTTTTTGTGGGGGAGAGGGTGTCTCAGGTACAGAGAGGCTCCTTAGTTCATGTCCCCACATTAATCCACATAAGATCCTTCAACTTTATTCTTCTTTTTTCAAGATTGTGTTTAATATTCTGTGTCCCTTGCAATTTTATAGGAATTCTAGAATCAATTTATCAATTTCTATAAAAAGTCCACTGAAATTCTAATAGGAATCGCACTGAATCTGAAAATCAATTTGGGGAGTACTGTCATCTTAACAATGTTGTCTTCTAATCCATGAATCTGTTCTGGGGATATGCTATGGACTGAATGTTTGTGTCCCTCCAAAATTCTATGTTGAGGCCTAATGCTCAGTGTGATGGTATTTCGAGGTAGGGCCTTGGGGAGGTAATTAGGTCATGAGGGTGGAGCCCTCAAGAATGGGATTAATGTCCTTATAAGAGACATGAGAGAGAGATCTCTCAGCACGAGAGGATACAGTAAGAAGGTATTCCTCCACAAGCCAGGAAGAGGCCCCTCTCCAGGAGCCAAATCAGTCAGCACCTAGATCTTGGACTTCCCAGCCTCCAGAACTGTGAGAAATAAATCTCTTTTGTTTAAGCCACTCAGTCTAAGGTATTTGTTCAGGTGGCCTAAAAAGACTTGAGAGGATGTTTTTCCATTTCACTTATTTAGATCCTCTTAAATTTTTTCAACCTCGAATATTCTCACTGTTCTGATTTTGTAATAATCAGAGCAAGCTAAACATTCCCTGTATTAAGACCATGCATGTGTCCCCAGACTTAGTTCTTTCCCTAGGTCTGCTTTTATCAGTGCTGGTGATAGACCAAGTCTGATTTATATGATGCATCTTATGTGAGAAATGTCCACGACTCTAGGTACCTGATTGTCTTTGAGAAATGACAGCAAGACTAGTGTAGTAACTTTTAAAGATGACCATTCCTAATTTGATAACCAGTTGCTATTAAAGGAACTATGAAACTAAAAAAAAAAAAAGCTTTATAGTTTTCAGAATAAAAATTATGCTTCTTTTGTTAAACTTATTCCTAAGTATTTTATTCTTTCTGATGGCTTCATAAATAGAATTATTTTCTTAATTTTATTTCTGGATTACTCATTGCCAAGTGTATAGAAATACTACTTATTCTTTTTTATTTCCATCTCCCTCCCCCAACAGGCAACCATTCTAAGACGTTTAATGCTTCCATTTTTGTTCTCTTTAAAACTGCCTTGTTTTGTGGGACACCTGGGTGGCTCAGGTCATGATCCCAGGGTCCTAGGATCGAGTCCTGCCTCAGGCTCCTTGCTCAGAGGGAAGCCTGTTTCTCCCTCTGCCTGCCACTCCCCCTGCTTGTACTCTCTCTCTCTCTCTGACAAATAAATAAAATCTTAAAAAAAAAAAAAGTGACTCCTTCAATAGGGTCTTTCTTTAAAAAAACAAACAAAAAAATCCTGCCTTTTTTTGTTTCTCAAACTTATGAAAATGGTATGGAGTCACATGTTACTGTTTCTGCTCTTGGCACAGTTTCAAAGCCTCTCTCATTGATGTGTACAGCTAGTCCATTGGTTGAAGTTAATGACGAGTTCTTCATATGCAAATCCACATTCGGTTCGGTTCATCCACAGCCCCAGTGATGGACACCCCGAGGGTCTCCTAAATGCCCACATCCCCACCCATCCAGCCACCACCACCGGCACAGCCCGGCTTAACTCTGTCCAGTCTATTAAGTGTGAAGTGATATCTTACTGTTTTAACTTCTATGATTAGTAGTGAGTTTAAACATCTCTTCATGTGCCTGCCTTCGGTTTCCTGTTCGATAATTAGAAACATCCATCAGTGTTCCCCCCTCCCCTCGACCCCCCAAAAAAAGTAAAAGAGAAACTTTGAATGTCACCGTAAGGGTAAAACACGCCCCTCACACTCTCTTCAGCAAAGGCTTCAGTAAAGCGAAATATTCCCCTTCACTAGAACGTGGGGGGTATGTTCCTGACTTCCACTCCTCTCCACCCACCCACCCATACCTACTTTTTCTTCTCAGTTCCAGCATCCAAAATAATGCAAAAGCGGCTCTGAAATTTACAGAGCATTCAGGGCACCAAATCAAAGGAGGCACCGTCTCCTGCTGCTACAAGCGCCGACTCGGCGCTTGTACAGTAGCCGGCAGTAAAAATTCAATGAGTAAACGAAGCCGCCTGTCACAGACGAGACCGGCGGGCGGCCGCGGAGCTCAGGTGGGGCTCCGCGGCAGGGGCCCGGTGGAGGAGCTGCGGCGGAACCGGCCCTCCCCGTCTGCCTCCGCCGCCTCGCTCCCCCGCCCCCAGCCGCTCCTCCGGCGCCGCGGGCCTACCTGCGCTGGGTGGCCAGAGCCACAGGGCCAGAAGCTGAGGCCTAGACAGCGGCAGGAGCAGCCACCAGTGCTCCATGTCTATGGTCCGCGGGCCTGGCCGGCTGGAGCCCGGCCCAGTATCCGAAAACGCCGGCGCCGCGCGCACGACCTGATGCAACTAGCAGCTGCGGTGACACGGCAGGAACCGTCACTGAGTCCGTGTGGGGACGGAGGGGATTTAACCTGAGCCGCAAAGCGGACTTCCGGGCCTTTATGTCTCCTCTGGTACTCCGCAAAGTGAGTTGAGTCCCTTCACACTCCTCTGACCACGTGAAGGAGCCGCGCGCCGGGGGGCGGGCAGGAGGCTGCGCGCTGGGGGAGAGGGGGGCCAAAGGCGGAGCACCGAGGCCGCCTTCCAGAGGTGGGGCGGGGCCTTGGGCCGAGGTCACTCTGTAAACTGAGGCCGGGAGCCGGCGGCGGGTTTACCCCAGGCGCCGCGGTACTTGGTGTCTTTGCTAGAGCGCTGCGCGGAGCGGGGCCACTGCTCTCACCATACAGCACGTGGCTCCGTCAGCTGAACTGCCCCCTGTTGATTTTTGCTTAGGTTACGATCTCAGCGTGGTGAGATCAGCCCCCCAAGGCTCCCTGCTGAGCGGGGAGTCCGAGATTCTTTCCGTCTCCCTCTGCCCCTCCCCTCATCCTGGGCCGACGCCATGCTCTCTCTTAAAAAACAAACCAACCAACCAACCAAAAACTATATATAGGGCGCCTGGGTGGCTCAGTCCGTTAAATGTCTGCCTTCAGCTCAGGTCATGATCCTGGGGTCCTGGGATAGAGCCCCGTATGGGGCTCCCTGCTCCGCGGGGAGCCTGCTCCTCCCTACCCCTGCATGCCGCTCCCCCTGCTTGTGCTTTCTCTCTCTGACAAATAAAATCTTAAGAAAAAAAAAAGTCTAAATATAGATATATATAGCCATATATATCTATATATAGATAGATATCTTTATGTATGTATCTTTAAAGATATATGGAGACATATATAGAGATATCTTTAAAATAAGTTTACATTCTGAAACTGAAAGCCCATCTGTATCTCCAGAACGCTTTAGTCAAACATCAAAAGGCAGCCCTTAATTTCCCTTGTTAATCAGAAAGTGGCTTCTGACTTCCTCCAGCAAAACCTAAAATGTTCATTCAGTGATGGTTACCACTTCCAGACCAGTTTTTTTTTTTTTTTAAGATTTTATTTATTTGCCAGAGAGACAGTGAGAGAGGGAACACAAGCAGGAGGAGCTGGAGAGGGAGAAGCAGGCTTCCCGCTGAGCAGGGAGCCCAATGCAGGGCTCTGTCCCAGGACCCTGGGATCATGACCTGAGCCGAAGGCAGACATTTAACTGAGCCACTCAGGCGCCCCTCCAGACCAGTTTTTAAATCAGTTTTAACTACAAAGTTCAAAACACAAGAAGCAGTGCTATAATAAATGCACATGCTTATTGCCCCAGCATCTTGCATTCCAGTAGTCTTGCTGATCCTACTTAATTTTTTCCTCACATCATTAAAAGCAATGTATGTAATCTATAGAAAATCACAGGCAGACCTGGACTCAAGACCCAAGTTCCAGCTATATCATCACTGACTGTGGGACAGTGGGCAAGTTACCTCAGTTTCCGCTTCTCTAAATGAGATGGTAACAACCCTGCAGGGCTGTTATAAGAATTACAGGATCAGTGCTTGCTTCGGCAGCACATATACTAAGAATTACAGGATTAGGCAGTGTGTGAATGAAGACATAGTGATACTGTCAGTAACTAAGCAAAGGTTTACATTCTCACCTATCTGCAAAACAGCATGCAGAGGGGAAAGAGCATAGAACTGGGAGGTGGGCAGGGTGCCCACACTGAGACCAACTAGCTGAGGGACCTTCACAAAGTCACAGTTTCTGAGACACAGTTCTAACAAGTAAGAGATCTACAAGGTTAGGTCCAGCTACATTAGTCTATACCTCTTGTCAACTGACACCTCTTCCAGGGAGTCTTACCCTGAGGAGAAGTCCTCTTCTGGTATTACTGACATCATTAAATACTTCCCCCAAAGGAAGTTATTTGGTGAATCCCCATAGTTTCCCAGTAAACCACTCTGCAAACTACTGGAATTTCCACCTCTGTGCTGTAACTGGAAGCAGGGGCTGGATCTTAAGAAATATATATACTATATATATATTAGGAAATGCTGGAGGGGCGCCTGGGTCGCTCAGTCGGTTAAGCGTCTGCCTTCGGCTCAGGTCATGATCCCAGGAGCCCCACATCGGGCCCCATGCTCGGCAGGAAGCCTGCTTCTCCCTCTCCCTCTGCCTGCCTGCTTGTGATCTCTCTCTGTCAAATAAATCAAATCTTAAAAAAAAAAAAAAAGAAAAAATGCTGGAAAAGGAATCCTTCCTCTAAGGCCTTCAGACTCTTTGACTCTATAATTGTGTTTTGCAAACAACCCACTCTTTCAACATTGCCAAGTTTGTCTTTTTCCCCAGAAAATAACAAATATTACATATTTTTTCTGATTTTACATTTAATATAATTAAAACAAAGCTATACAAA